CAAGTGTCAATAATAAAACAATTTAAAATAAAAAGATGTTCCCTTTGATAAAAATATTGTTATGTGAGCTCACCAAATCAATGTTTGAGAAGATACTACTATAAAGTGTAAAAAAGGAATGCAGACTTCAGAGATGTGTGATACTGTATGTCTGTAGCTGTATCATTTTTTTTTAAAAGAGGCATATATTTTATTCATTTATTTATTTGTTTGTTTGTTTGTTTATACATGCACTGGGTACAGTCAGTCAGAAGCGCGGGAGGGTGAGAGAATTCACCAGAGCCAGAGCAGGGAGCAGAGCAGGCAGAAGGACCAAAGTACACTGCTGAGGGGAGCAGCGGGCGGCAGGAGAGGTCTGCGCGCCATGTGGGACCCTCCTCCAGTGGCCAGGGAGCAGCCGGGGATTGAACCAGCGCCACAGAGGCCGCGGGCAGCTTCACAACCCAGCGCTCAACCGCTGCGCCACCGGGGAGGCCCTGTAGCTGTATCATTTTTAAAAAGCAAAAGACCAGTGATAATGAAGACAAAGCAGTGGCATTTGAAGGCTGAAAGCAATTTGATTTATTTAACTTTGAAGAACAAAAGCTTATTCTTCTAAGAAGAAATCAAAACACATTTTCTGTGGAAAAAAAGAATCCATTTTAACTGCATTGCCAAAATAAATCAGGGAGAGAGCAAGTTAGATCGAGCTACAGAAAAGAACTCAGGCCAAAGGAAAGGGTGAAAAGAAAAAGGGGAGGAGATGCCAAAGAGCAGGTTTTGCTTTTTTAAATAGAGAGAGAAAGCAAGAGTGAGAAATTCTGAAGCAGTCTTGATAACACTCTATTTAGACTAGCCTACTTTTAGTATCTACCAACTAATTAAAAATAAAGAAACCTAGCCACAGAGTACATATGCATTTGAATATTTGAATATATTCTACAGTAAAATGAGGCACTCTAATAAAATACTTAAACATCCAAACCTAAACACATTTTTTAGGAAAAGATGCAAAACTAAAAGATTGTACGAGATTGTCTAAACAATGCATGATATTCCTATTCCACTTTACTAGCTACAGTCTAGGGCAAATCTTCCAATTCAATCCTGAGCCAGCAATTTAGACCCAAAAGGAGAAATTTTAGGATTTTTCTCTAGGTGGAAAATACCCTAAACATGTTAAAGGCATGTATTCTTTTTTGGGGAGGAGTCATATAAGAAGTGTAGCAAGAAAATTTTCAGTGAATGCATACATTTTTTTTACAATGTCAGCGAATATTCCCTTCCCTCCTTTTACCATCCTATGTTGGGGTAATCGGACATCACTACGCAACAGGCCTCAACTCAAACTGATTCTGATCAAGGGCCCTGATTTCCTCTACCCAGCTGGGTGGTCTGTGACTCCAGACTACCTGGGTCGGACTTTAAACTCCCTCACATTGTTATGGTAACTCTAAATAAGATGCTTAAACTCTGGGTTTAAGAACTTCACCTGCAAAATGGGGTCCTTTCTAGCACCTTCTTATTGCAGTTGTGAGGGTTAAATACATTAATAATCCAGAATGTGTCTTTCAAAGCATACCAGGTACAGAGTAAGTACTCCATTTGCAGTAGCTATAATTAAATGACATCATGGCATGGGCATTCAAGATATTATTCTCCCTATTTTGAAATCTGTTTAAAAATTTCCATAGTAAAAATTTTAATTTCAAATATAATTACAAGTTGAAGGCTTGCAAAACACATTCCTTTCTAAGGTCACTCCTGCTCAGCGCTGATTTAAACAGCACAATGCACTAGAACTAACCTCTTTTGAGACCCGCCTCATGCTGGGCATTCTCGTGCCATGTTCCTTAAATCAATGAACTTAATATCCCATTTCACACTCAAGGAAACAGGGAGTGATGGTGGTAGAGTACAATTTCCCATTGGTGAAGCTATGTGTGAGCCACGTCTTCTGACCAAATCCAGCGTTCTTTTATAAAATCCATGTTGATAGTGGTGTGCTTTGCAAGGAATATCAAGTTGTAAACCAGTGAAATGTGGCAGGAACATCAGATGACTAGATCAAATTCTTATAGTCACAAAACTAGTTGAGCAATCCTAATTCTTTGAACTTTCCCAAATCTTGAGATCCTGTTTGAGCAACAGTGGCCAAAATCCACCATGGCACATTAGCCAGGCTCTAATCAAGGTGAACTCTAATCAAGATCATCTTGTATGTCCCACCCAGGGGCGAGCCATCTCTCAGCACACCGTCAGGCTGACGGCTCACATCAGGCCATCATTACAACCCAACCTTGCTTTCAGGGTTTTTTTTAATGTTTTATTTGGGGAACACTGGCTTATAACATTATATATAATTACAGGTGTACATCACTGTCATTCAATATAGGTAAACACTACATCATGATCACCAACAAAAATCTAGTTTCCAGCCACCATTGCATAATTAACCCCACTTACCCTTTTCACCCACCGCCCCAGCCTCCTCCCCCACTGATAGCCACCAATCTGCTTTCTGCAACCAAGAGTTTGCTTTTGTTTTGTCTTGTTTTCATTCATTCACTTTGTTTCTATAACCCATGCTCTTTGCAGCTGAACTCTCTACAGCTTTCCGCTCCTTAGTTGAGTAGTCTGATACTCCTCTTCCCAGACAGGCAGGTCCTCATGACTTTCAACAGAATCCTTCTCTAATTTACCAAAATCACTCAGGACTCCAGTTCTAACATCTAAAGTATCCTCTGCATTGTTTGATAACTTTCTGGAAGCATGGAAATATTCTGCATCTATGATATCCATATTGCAGACCTTGCATCTGAGGCTACTGAACACTTGAAGTGTGACCAGGGCAGCTGCAAAACTAAATATTTAATTAATTTAAATTTATTAGCCATAGACTAGTGAGAGCTACCGTATAAAAGACTATAAGGTACTAGAACATTGCTGGAAAAGACTTAGATTCAAATCAGCTCCCTTTTCCAGTTATATGACTCTCAACATGTAACTTACCTTTCCATTCATTAGTTTCCTCATCTATAGAACTGGGATAACAGCTGCAACCCTGGTAGGAGGTACTTATAAATGGTGACTTAAGAGATGCAGATCAGAACAATGTGCAGGAGACTAGCACACTGAATTAACATGAGCTGCTTTTACTATTATCGTCAGCACCTTCCCTTTCCTATATTCCTCTCAATCCCCTTCCCCAATGCACCAGTGGCTGAGAAGCCAAAGACAGACTTGCCTGGTCTGGTTCTCTTCTTTTTTTATTTCCAAAGATTTATTTATTTACGCATACAAGAACCGGGGCACAGGCCAGAGGTGCTGGGGAGGGGAGGGCAGTAAGAGGACCCACCAGAGACAGAATGAGGAACAGAACAGGCAGATCAACCGAAACACACTGCTGAGGGGAGCAGCGGGTGAGCCAGGAGAGGTCTGCTGCACCATGCGAGCACCTCCTTGGACAGGGATCAAACTCGTGCTGCAGTGGCTGCGGACAGCCTCACAGGCTGGTCTCAACCCCTGTGCCACCAGGGAGACCCTCTGGTTCTCTTCTTTAAAGAAAGCACCTCTCAGCAACTACATTACGGGAAAAGGGCCAGATCTCCCTAAAGACAAGACTATAAGAATTAGCTCCAGGAAGCCAGCACAGCCCATATGTCTTGTAGAATTCAGGAGCACAGCCCTTCCTGAATATTCTCAACCTCTCCGAGCTGGAAGATTATCAAGAAGCTAAAGTATTTTCCATATCCAATGCTAGTGAGTACAAACTGATTTGAACCTGGCCACATGACTCCAGGGCTCACCCTTTCCCTGGACCTCCAAGGACACCAGCATCCATCCCCCAGGCCCCAGGCCCCTTTCTGAGTGGAACCTCCTCTGATGGTTCCACTGGAATTAGAAGCATGACCACTCCTGGGTCCTGACACTCACCATTTTATACACAATAAGGAACTTGAAAGGGATAAGCGCTACTTGAGCCCAAACAAAAAGAAAAAAAGATGAAAGCGAAGTTAAGATCAAGCTATCATAGACATTTCTTTAAAGCATTATCTTCCAAATTAAAATTGCCAAACAAGGAGCATTCATTTTTGCTTTTTAAATCCCTTCGAAACATCTGTCAGAAAGAGGACTTTCCCTACAGGAGGTGTTTTAGAACAGTGGCACATCAAAGAGAACTGGTTTCCAACTCAATTATAGGAAAAAGCACTGACTGGTCTGCTTGCTTTAGCCTTTTTCAAAACAGTTTATCTAGAAATGACAACAAAATTATATTTCATTTGGCCTGCATGGCTTTTTTAAAAGAAATTTTAAAAGCTGCCAACGTTTTTAAACTTGTAGTGACTTCACATAAAAAAGTAGAGATATCTACATTTTTTAAAAAGATTTATTCATACATGCAAGAACTGGGGTACAGGCCAGAGTTGCAGGGGGTGAGAGGATTCACCAGAGACAGAGTGGGATAAGAACAGGCAGATAGACCAAAGTACACTGCTGAGGGGAGCAGCGGGTGAATCAGGAGAGGTCTGCTGCGCCACGTGGGTAGCTCCCTGGCTGACAGGGATCAAACTCATGCTGCAGCGGCTTCGGGTAGCTTCATAGTGCTGTGCTTAACCCCTTGTGCCACCAGGGAGGACATAGATATCTACATTTTTTGGCATAAGATCTAGCAATACTAACTACTTCCTGCCTTGTAGTAATGCAAGCCCAATAGATGGATAAAGTGATTTCTAGTTTGCCACAATCCCCACCACTCCACAATGTTATAAGCAATCCTTTCTCCTCATTTTCACACAGGCTGTGTTTCTGGAGACACCCAAGTATGTGGCCTCTTGACAAGAAGCTCTGCACAAACAATATATCTTGCTCAATCACCTACAGTACTATCAGATGCCAGAAAGCATTCTATTTCCCTGCCAAATATTACTGCTATCCTACCACAAGAACCAGGGAACTCACAGTACCTTCTCCACACCAGGCGCCATCTCACCCACAAGGCCACCAAAACTCCAACTCACCTGCTACTCTGTGTCACTTCGTTCTCTCTTCACAGGCGTCACAGGCAGCTCCCCATTGATGCCCTCAGTTCCACTCACAGACATCAAACTTCTCCGCTCCTTCTGATTTGACTTGTGTTCTACTTTTGTAACTCTAAACCTGGGGAGGTAAGAGGAGGTTTAGGAAGTTTTACTTTTCCAGTAAACAAAAATGATGAGTAAATCAAAAATCATCCATCTAGAGGATCCCAAATGAAATCTGCCAAAAATTACAACAGCCATGAAAATACCATGTTCCCCAGGAGGGACGTCCCACCCAGCAAACATCCCCTGCCGAGCTTTCCAGCTGATCCTGCCCGGCACATCACAGACATGAGAAACACATTAAAAAAAACATGGGCATTCACATAGTAAACGGTTGTATCATTGTGGTTTCTAATGATGACTGGGATTTATCTTCAGTTTGTTAACCACAGATAGCTGGATAAAAGCATGACAAGTTTGCAAATTAGGCTGACATAACCAGGGAAAGGACTTAACTATAGTTCACTCTCAGGAGTCTTATGTATAAACACACACACACGAGCCCCAGGACACATTTATCAGTATCAGTTGGCAGTTGTTTTTTTGTGTCTGGTTTTTGTCTGTTTTATTTTTGCAAAAGCAAAACTGGGTTCATTTTCATGAAGGATTAAGAAAAATGTTAAGGAAGAATTTTTCATTAAGAATTAAGAGGGAAGTTAAAGCAATTTATATCCATTTGATTGTTTTTCTAGTACATCATCAAATCCCTGAAGTCTTTTGTAATAGCTTTTCTCCAGCTCTGGTCTTAATATCCCTTAAAACTCTCTAAAATAGATTCTCTTCCTTTGTCCAACATGAGATCACCAACCTGAGGAAGCGAGAGAAGGATCAGGCAAATCTATTCTGCCCAACGGGTAAGACTCTCTGTAAGCAACACACACTGAACAATTGCCTGTAGTGAGTCAATGCTCATAGTATTCACATTCAAAGAGAGAGAGCTGGATTTGTGCACTTAAAAAAGCCACGTTGAATCTGAGTTGAAAATTTCAGCACATTTTTTTAAAGCAAACAAAATACGCTTTGTCCAAACAAGCTATGAATTCTCATTACATTCAACATTCATAAATTCCCGTGACTCTGCTTCTTAATAAAACAGTGTAGTCATGGGTTGTGCTGTTTTGCTGTAAGTGGCAAACAGCCCTGTAGTCTTCTCCTCACTGCTTGTGCAACAGATGATGAAATGCAACCAAATTAAAATGCCAATAATGACAACAGCCAAGAATTCTCAAATGCGTAAGTGCCCCAAACTGGCCTAAGATCTTCATGTGAGTTGCCATACTCAGTCTTCACAGCAACCCAATGAGGCAAATGTTATTATCATCCTCATTTTATAGAGGGGGAAACTGAGGCATGGAAAGACATTTAAACTTTCGCTCTGTACAGTTGAGACCTGGGCTTTATCTATCAGCACAAACTTGATGGTTAATTTTATGTGTCTATTTGACTGGGATACGGAATGCCCAGATAGTTGATTCAACTATTTCTGTTTTGGTGAGAGTGTTTCCAAAAGATTCACATTTGAATTGGTAGAGTGGGTACAGAAGATTGCCTCCCCCAGGCGCGTGAGCATCTTCTAATCTCTTGAGGACAAAAAAGCAGAGGAAGATTAACGTGATCTGTTTGCTTGAGCTGAGACAACTGTCTTTTCCTGCCCCCAGATATCAGACTTGGACTGAAACACACCATCACTTGCCTGTTTCTCCAGCTTGCAGAGGCAGATCATGGACTGCTCAGCCTCCAAACGCTTTTGAACTGAGCCCTATAATGAAGCTCTGCTTCTACACAGTTCTCTCTCTATGATACTGTTTCTGCCTCTTTGGAGAACCCTACTACAGTAAGTAATCAATTTTTACCTTAATTTATACACATGACATCTGAGCTAGTAATAGCCATTCTTGGATTTCTTCTGCTATTGGGAAATTGCAGGTCCAGTCCAGAAAACACCAAAAAGGGCCAGAGATCTGGCCTGAGCCACACTTAGGAGAACGTACTCTATACGTAATGGGTCAGTACAAATCTACACCTCACAGCAATCACACCACACTCAAACCCAAAGCACCCACAGGGATCTTACCTGCCAACAGAGAGGACGGTGACCTCTCCTTGGCGCCTCGGGCGGCCATCTTTGGACTTGACAGCGGGTTTTATGAAGTGCCAACGCTTGTGCCTACACCGATGGCACACATCCCTCTCCACAGCGCCGCCCACTGTGTGCAGATGGTGGCCGCAAATGTGCTTCCCTGGAGTGCCCCCTGGAGACAAAGGCCCAGGACTCACAGGTGGGCTCCCAGGTGTGCTGGGAGTCACAGGGCTAATGTGGGAGAAAGGAAAATGTGGAATTTATTACTTAAAAGAGACACCAGCGAAGACAATCTACTTTCCTGAAATGCAAGGAGCAAGTTTAAATCAAAAGAAAACACTGCCTCTTCCCATATACAGAGAGAATTTGTGGACTGATTAGGGCAGCCAGTCCACAGCTTTAAGGCTGTGCCATGACAGTTTGCTTCAAAAGGCAATGCTGTGATTTATCCCTTCTAGAATGGAATTAACTGGCTGGAAATAAACACTACTGCTAAGGAAGCTGCTCCATTTGACTTTAAAAGTATTGTTTCTCTCTAAATGACTGATAGCCTTTCTCAGGCAATCATGCCAATTTCTCACCCATGGCAAGTGTCTGCCTAGATGTCTAAGAATTAGAACCCAAATCTATATGCATCACTTCTGGAGGAGAAAGAAAACATAAATCCCACCAAATTATCAGGAGACTTAAGCTAGAATTTGATTCAATGTGACTACTGCATCAAAGAAAGAAAATGTTTAGGACAAGATATCAAAAGTACTACTCAGAAGAGGTACTTTAATGTTGATAATAGTAATAATTTAAAAAGTAGTAATAAAAATAGATAATACCATATTCTAAGCATTTGATTTATTTTATTATTTTTATTTTAACATTTATCATTTTTTACATTTTTAAGACAATATTTGCTTCCCCCCACCCCCTCAGATTGAGTCCCCATAGAATTTCCTTCCCCAAGGCAAGCCATGCACCATCACCACAGTCCCCTGTGCTCCTCCTCCCTCCCTCTGATCCCTCTCCCTCCTCCTCCCCTGCAGGATGTCTCTGGTTTACAATTGTCTGTTTTTGCTTTGTTGTGGTTTGTACTGTTATTATTTTTTTTTACATTGATGTCTTATTGGGTTCCCCTATATTCCTGTTATAAGTGAAACCATCCGAAACCATCCGATACTTTTCTTTTTCCTTCTGGCTTATTTCACTAAGCATAATTGCATTTGATATATTTTAACTCAATCTTTACAACATCTTACAAGGCAGGCATTATGAATTTCCTTGTTTTAAAGAAACACTAAGCGTCAGAGAAGTTAACTAACTTGCCCAAGGTCACACAGCTAATGAATGATGGAGTTGGCATCTAATGTAGAGAGTTTAATTTTAGAAATCATGTTCATTCTACAGTGCTTCAGAAACAGGAGAGACCACTTTGATAACCTCAAAGTAATCTAGCCAGACCACCCAAAATATAAAATGCATATAGACCAGGAGTCGACTATTTCAAAAGCAACATGTTAAACCTCCAATCAGCTAGAAAAGGAGGAACTAAAAAAGGTCAGGGCCGGCCTGCCCAGGAAGCAGCCCTCCAATGTGGCATGGGTGAGGCAGCATCACACGCAGCCTGACACCTGAGCCTGTGCCAAAGGGGATAATACAAACCAGTCTTTTATGCTGCTGAGTGCTGGCCCACTGGCCCGATAAAAAGAAGTGAAACCCGTGGTCCAGGAGTATTTCTACATACACACAGAGTCAAAAATTTTCTGGTGCTCCTTAGGGATGCTCTTTAGATTATTAAAATTAAAACACAGCATCAGTTTTCGGGGTGGGGGGCGGGTAGCAATGTTAAATGAACACCTCAATTAGAAAGCTGAATTCAAGACTCTAACCGACATTCACTCAACAAATGCTTATTATCAAGTAGCTGCTGTACCCAGAACCCAATGGCAGACAACGCCCAGAGGTGACCTCAGCTAAGACAGCGTGAGGAACGTGATGTTAATGCCAGGAGTCTGTGGTCAGGGAGGGGCGGGGGGAGGCGGGTCATGGAGCATAAGCTCTGCTGTTCATAGGTATGAACAGTGGAGCTTCTGAAACTGACCTTCCTGCACTTTGCTTTTTGGCTCTAAAATGCCAATCTCCCATGGCCAGTTTGACAGACACACCTTAAACATCTGTGATGTTTTGGGGATACCACATACAATGTAAGCAAAAAAGGGTCTGACTCCTTGCCCTGTCTGTCACTCGGTTTCCACTCGCCTACCTGGCCCTTCCTGCCACTCTCCACGCACGTCCTTGGGCCTCCCCTGGCTGAAGCTTCCCTGGTGCATCCACACTTCATGCTCCTGTGCCTTTTCTCCTGACGCTCTGCCTACCAGCAGCCCCGGCCTCCTCTCTGCCCTTCACATGCCTGACTCACATTCAGTGAACGTTCCCTGACCTTCCGCTGAGCATCCGGTCCCTAGTCTTCTAACAGCACCCCGCACCCTCTCTCCACTACACATCTCCACTCCCCACAGACCGAGCTCCTCCCTGCAAGGCCCTGTGAGCAGCGCCATACACCAGCACACGTTGGGCCGCAACAAATACTCCCTGTTGAAGAAAGGGACATTTATAGACTTTGGCTACCTGTAACTAATCCTGCGGGCCTACGGTGCTCAACAGCCATACCCTATAACTGGTACCTCCACAATAGAACACAGCAAGTGCCCCCAAGTGCCTGGTTTTCCCCTTAAGCATCATTGTTCAAGGAGGGTTTTCAATCCCCAGGGTATCTTGTATTCCCTATAGTAGCCTGGTGAAGCTAGTATAGGGGTTATCTCCATTTTATAGATGATGGAAGTTGAGCTCAAAGCAGTCAGGAAACTTGCCCAAGTAGGGGAGGTCCCAATGCTGATGCTGCTACTTTTTCCATCACTACCCCCTAACACCACGGCTGTCCACCAGGAGTGAAGTGCCCCCCAGGAGACAGGAGATACTCTGGGCCTTCACACAGAGAGCCAGGTGTCACAGACTGAACCTCACTCAGGAATGCTGCCAGACATCCTACAAAGCACAGGGTAGTTTCTCATAGCAAAGAATTCTCTGACCCCAGTGTCAAAAGTGTCAAACTGAGGAAAACTGATCTAGCAGGTAACTGGGGAAAAAAAGACCCATTAAATGGGAGACACACTCACCTTTCAGGATCATACAGGCTATTGTCTGCTACCATTGCCTTTAAAACATCGGCATTGGCTAAAGAAAAAAATATATAAAGAATTAAAATGGAAAGAATAAGATGAGTAGTCACAGAAAATCACCACATGAGAGAAGCTGTTGGAAAACCCCTCCTTGAGTTCCTTCAATTCACAGATGAGGTCCTAGGGCCCTGGAGAAGGGAGTCTTTCCCAAGGTAACCCCACAACATGGCCCCAGGTGCCAATAACTTCCATCACCCGGGGATTCAGCAAGAGTGCAGAGACTCTGTGCAAAGGACGCAGATCTACTGCAGGGTTTGCTTCCTACACACCATCACACTGGAACACAGAAAACATTTCTTCCTCTCCTCACTCCCACCCCGCAACCAAAGGGAAATTGACAAGCTGTATTCTATTGCATTTAACTTACTTTTTAATCAATTTAATTTAAATGATGTAGTAGAAAATGTATGTCTTAAGAGACTTGTATTCTAGTAACATGTATGCCCTCAAATAATCAGCCCTTACACCCGTGTGGTGTCTCTCCCACATATGATCAGGGATGGGAGAGAGTTCATTTTCCAGATGGGCCCTTCAGCTTAGCTCTGCTGCAATGCAGGGTCATACAAGGCCTTACTTCTGGCCAGATATCTTGAAATTTCAAGTGTTGGACTGAGTTAAATTAAACTTCTAAGGTTACTTTTTTTTTTTTTAATCCCAACTGGCAGGTGGGGTGTTTGGCCATAACAAAACCAAGTTGAATCTAAGTTTCTTGAGCCCCCACCCCACCCGGAGAGATATACATGTTCTTTTTACCTCTTGTAGTACAGTCAAATTTCAAGGACGAAAAATTTAATGTTAAATAGCCCTTGGATATTTCATTGGTGAAGCCAAATGTTATTACTGACTCCTAAACTGTCCATTGATTTCTAAAGTTTATGATGAACCACAACAAATTCTCTAGGGATGAAAGAATAAAATCACTACCATGTGAGCCAACACCAATATTTAACATTTATTATCTCAAACGACAGCCCTAGAGGAGGAAAACTAACTCTGCTTCCAACATTGATGCTTTAGTTATTTAGTTAAGTCTAACCATTAAGTGTGACCTATAATTAAAGTATTTCTTAACCATTTACAATTAACTTTAATTATTTCCAAATCGCCCTCCCATGAAATTGTAATAATGAAAAAATATGCTATATCTGTTTATGTACTACAAGTGTGCGTGTGATTTATATATAAAATAAGGGGTTTTTCGCCTCCACAATTCAATTTTTACCCTATCACAACCCTTGCGCACACATGGGGCTATAAAGAAATACTAGCTCATCATACCATTCTTTTCTACAAGAAACACTTTTTTTGCCCTTCATCACTGTGAAGATACCAAAATGCATTTCCAAGCACAGTTTTTATCTCAAGAACAGTTTTGTCATTACAAAAAAAGTACTGAATGAATTGGCAATATCTTCTCCCACATGACAAAGACACCTTAGCCTCTGTGGACAAATTTAAGTATAATCTAGTACTGCCAGTCATTTTCCCTTTTGAACAAGGATTCAGAAAAATAATTTTCTCTCAGATAATGGGTTCAGGCATGAACTAAAATAATTTGCCAGTGGACACTTATGCAGATGCCATCATCTATCAAACTTCAAAACTATAACAGCACCTTTTTTTAAAGTATGAAAACAAAGACACTCATAGGCTAAGCTGTTGAAAACCAAAAGTTTAAGTAGTTGCCACACAAAATTATCACCTATAAAGTGCTGACCTCTTTTAGAAACATCCAATTATAAGATTCCAGGAAGATTATTAAAATACATTAAGATTATTACTTCAACTTGCTTTTATAGACTTGTGTTATTTGTTAGGTATTTGTGGATTCCTGTACCTCACCCTTATCTTTGAGAAATAATTCTCAAACAGCCTCTTTACTATTAAATTTCTATACATCATTCACACTCACTCACACTCAAGGTTCAGCATGTGGGACCACCACACACACACATACACACACACACAGCTGTCCCTGGTCTAACTTCCAGTCTACACCGGAGAATAAATCTCATAAACTGTCCCTTGGGAACATTTTGGTTTCTTGTGATAAGAAAACGCTCACATAACACCACCACTAGGACTTATACCCATGTTTTAATTCAGGTATAAAATTACTTTAAAGGAACAATAATTAAATTCCATAGACTACATATCGCTTCCAGTTGGTTTTCCCTATACTTGTCAACATTCTGTCAACTATATTTCCTTCATGGGATTCCAGATAGTGGGAGGAGTCAGTTATAGGGACAAGGGAAAATTGCCAGCAGGCAATAATTTCCAGGAACTACTTCCTCTCTTCTTTCCTGAATTTCTTCTGCCTGGTAATACATATAAAGCAGAAAAATGTCTTGCTTTCTACCACAATTCTTTTTGAAGTTTTCCCTGACACTCAAGACAGATTTCACAAGTAAGAACTAAGACTATTATCATCAAAGCCAGATTGCCTGCTACGTCAAGGACCAACGGCATCACAGACCCTCCAAACTTGGGTCTCCCAACAACCCCACAACAGGTAGAAATATCCCCATTTCACAGATATGCAGAATGAGATAAAGATGGAACTGATTGCCAAGGTTACACAGTCAGAGACGGATCTGGAGACAAGCCCTGGTCTCTCTGATTCTAGCCTGGGTACTTTCAACCTCCAAGCTCTCCTTTCTACTCCTTCAATGTCTAAGTCTCTGTCCACCTAATTCCCATCTTACCAGCTCATAGGATGTTTGCAGAACCAGGAAAGTAAGATTCAGAAACCTCCTTGGTAAGACAGTAGTTTATAAAGAGATCCTTTTTGTCATATAAATTGAGCCCCCAGGTAAGAATTTCACAAAATTATTTCTCTGTATGACTAATTAGGGGGTCTGGGGGAGTAGTCAAAATAATATCAGATGGTTGAAGGGCCTCACAGAGAAGCTCAACTCTGGAGTCGCAGTTACTTTCCAAACTCCCATACAAGGCAAGAAAACCCCAATGGCCCCCCAAATTCTCTTCAATTCAGCTCTGCTTAGAAAAAATAAAGGCAGCACTCTGTTTAATGCAAGCCTCAAGATTAGAAGGAAACCAATCAGTGTGCAGCTCTGCTGAAAAATTCATCCTTCAAGAGATACTTATCTAAACGAAACCTGATTTGCAACATTCAAGACATGAAAAGTTTAAACCATAAACAAGAATGTCACCATGAGTACAGGTGAAATATCACTCCATCAACCAAATTAAAAATGCAGAGCAGAAGACTATTCATCTATCAAGGCTGCAAATGATTTAAAGTATGTAAGCATGGGCAAAGAAAACCTAAGTAAACATGGACAGATCATACTTAATGTTATTCTCTATTTTAATTTTTAAAGAAAAGTCATGTGGTGGCATACTTATAATTATTTTTTAAATAGCTAAGTTAACAGCAACAGGGAGATTTGGCTGGCTAGGAAATTCAGAGTCTGCTGAATTTCTGACAGAAACAAAGAAAAGATACAAATGCATTTGTTCTCAGAGGATTTACATGTGAAAGGCAAACTTAAAAGGCGATGTTCTAAACTGGTAAGAGACCCAAGTAGGTCACCAGCTGTAGCTTAACACAGGCTGGGAGCAAGCAGGGGCTGTGGCCAGAGGAGGGGTGTCCGGAGAGATCAGATGTCTCTCTGCAGCCAAGGAGAACCAGAGGCCACCCAGGGATCAGAGCCACCACCTGTCCTCAAAGTTACTGGGGAATCACAGGAGACAGATGGAAGTCACTGACCAGGTACAGGAGGAGGTTAAGAATCAGACAGAAGGAAAAGAAATAGGGAGCAAAGGAGAAAGAACAAAGTGTCTTGGGAATCGCTGTAACATACCTGCCAGCCAAAAAGACTGCCTTCCAAAAGGAGAAGGATGTAATTAAAAAAGGAAAGAGCTTTATTTGCCCAGGAATGTGGGAGGTGAGGAAATTACATATTGGCTTGCTCCAGGGACCCAAAGGCTTGTCCACTGCTGTCATTACAAGAAGGAGCCACACATGGGTCGTGTGACTTTGGGCAAGTGTCCTTATCTGCATAAAGGGGTGATAAACTACCTCTCAATAAGGTAGTTGGGAGGGTGTAATGAGTTAATGTTTAAGAATAATCTTATCCTTAAAGTACCCAGCTGTAGGTTTATCTCTTTGGCAGGAGGAAGGTTACTATCCCTCTCTCCCAATAGCCGAGGGCAAGAGCACAGTTAAATAGAGATGCAGAAGTTCAAATCCCAACCCTGCCACTTGCCCACAGTGTGATGTCAGCAAGTTAGTTAAGCACTGTCGGCACCAGTTTCTCAAATCTAATGTGGGAATAAAGCATCTGAATCACCCGGTTGTTAGTCCCTGGAAGGCCCTTAGGACAGGCCTGGCACACAGGGAACGCTCAGTGCCTGCTAAGAAGTTATACGTAAGAACTTCAGCCCCAGGCGAAGTTTCCACAGTTGACTTCTTTCAACCATCAGCTGTCAGGAAACAGCTGCATTCTGCATTCACTAATTTAGCAGCTGCCTCAGCTCTCAGAAGCCCGGGTCCTGAAGGCCTGTGAGTCCTGCAAAGCCTGGGTGCAGCTTCAAATGCACAAGGTGAAGGAGCAATTAAGGGCAATTAATTAAGTCTTACCCCATACACCTCTTAAGAGGGTCAAAACTTCCATGCCCAGAACATATCTGTAAATTTCTTGTGTAAGTTAAAAAGCACTTTTTAATGTAACAGAAACATGCCTCTTGGTTGTATAATGTATCACCACATACTGTCCCCTGAAAAAAGGCTTCTGGAAGACAGTACCGAAATCCATGAGTTGTGGTCTTTTTAGTTTTATTTTAAATATCATTCTATTGAGTGGGGTTATCTAGTTTTAAGTCCTGTAGAAACGGAAAGCTGCAAATTAGGGGAGAGGAAAGGCAACGGTGCATCGCTGAGCAACCAGACTAAGCTCTGCTGCAGCTAGCCAGATAAGCTGAACAACCAAGCCTTTATTACTTCATCTGCAAGATGGTATGAGACCAACCTCAGAGAATGAAGTGAACTTCCTCACATAAAGACCTCAATCTATGCCAAATGCAGAAAGCACACCCAGCAAAGAACAATGAAAATTGTGCTAAACCAATGCAGAATGACTGTCTCTCTAAGTAAAGCCACAGCCCCACAGCTGAGCCAGGCAGGTGTTCTCACTGGGTAGGGTTTCCAGGGGGGGACTGGTGCAAAAGAGCAGGAATTTATGGAGCAGCACAGTGCTATGTCAGCATCAGGACCAACGGCTGAGCACATCAGAGCCCACTGCACGAGTCAGCATAGACAGGGACTCAGGAAAATGTTTCTTTTAAATTCTCATGCAAATTCCAAGTAAACCTGCAGCTGTTAAGCATGTGATCAAGAAGCTGCAGACTCCAAAGCCTCAGGAAGTCATGGTCTCCTATCAAGATGATAATCAGCCTTCAGATCATCCTAATTCATCTAATCAACATTAAATGAATCCTTTGTTCAAGAAGATGGGGGTCTAAAATACATTTCTGAGGGGGAGACATGCTTAAATCCACAAAATCTTTTACATTTAAGAATAGATCACATAACAGGAAAATTCATAGAGACAGAAAACAGAAGAGCAGCTGCCAGCTGATGGGGGTGGAATGGGGATGGAGGATGGTGATAGAGCTACAGTTGAGACGGTGAAATTTATGGAACTAGGTGGTAGTGATGGCGGTATAACATCGTGATTGTATCTAATACCACTCACTGACTGTACATTTTTAAATGGTTGTAATGGTCAATTTTGTTGTATGCATTATACCACAACTTTCTTTTTAAGTACAAAGAAAGGAATCAATCATATTTGAGTCCTTAGAATACTGAGCACTAAACATGCAGATATCAGAACAATGCTATGGGCAAATATTACTATTACCTTCCTTTTACAGAGAAGAGGCTCTGTACAGAGGATGAGGCTTCATGAGATAATGCAATATTCCCAAATTCAGGTGAGGGCAGGATTTGAATGTGCAGGTCACCCCCAGGGCCTGTTCTTACAACATTCAGACCAACTGACTCATAGAAAATTTGCTTATATGAAACTCTCATGGTTATGTAATGCTGGAAGCTGAGTTATTTGTGAGCTGGTAAAAGGAGCTACCAGTAATTTAAAAAAAAAAATCCACTGGAGGATCCATACACATGCTGACTCTTCAAAAAAGGTTTTTAATACAATATATGAATATTGAATTGTTCCAGAACACTAAAACTTCCATACCTTCATTTTTCATGATGTAGTGGACAATTTGCCCAACGGTGTCACTATTTTCATTTACACTGTCATTCAACTCTGAAAGAGAGGGGAGAGAGGAAGAGGGATGGGTTACAGTTAGTCACCTGCATCAAGTCATTGAGACCTTTGGTCTTAGAGCTAAAGACCTCAACAAACAGTCTCAGAAGAGAATGGTCTCAGCCAATCAACCATGGTGTTGGACATCTAGAACTTCTTACTTCAACTCAAATTGCCTGGTGAGTAATAGATTAAGACTTCCTTTATATTACTGGCATACAAGGATCAGAGTTGTTCATCAATCTCTTCTCAAGTTCAAACACCCACTCAACTTTCCCAGACAACGTTCTCGTGCATTTATAGCAGTTCTTCCTACCATTACTTCTCTCTCATCATTTCCTTAAACCTTCCGGGGAAATGGCAAGAAAGCTGATTAAAAGAAAGAAATTCTCCTTGGATTTTAATCTAATTGCAAATAGACTATATACATTTAGAGTATTAATTTCCTTTTTAAATTGTATCTTCATCCAAGTTTGTAAGACTCTCCCTCTCAGATGACCCAAATTTTGACCATAGCTATTTGTCAGACTCATTTACTTTTGGGAGATTGTATAAGTGATAGTCTTTGAAAAAACTCAGTCTCTACACTGAAACTCATCTGCATCACTTGTTTCAACAAAATAAGGAGAAAGAGGCAGGTGGCTCTGGAAGTATCTTCTCCATCCCCAATGGACTTCCTCCTTCTGAAAAGACATTTGTCTGACTGGTGCAAATGCTGACTGCCATACCACCCTGGAGGTGTCTAGGAAGGAGAAGAGGAGGAAGCTCAGCTTTCTGTTGACAAACTCTCAGCTTTCACTTGCTCATTAGCTTACACATGACTCATCATGCAACCTTGTTCTTTGCTGCCTCAAAGGTCAGTGGGGGTGGGAAAAACCAACAGCCCAGCAAGCTGGCAAGGAATGAGAAGCTCCCCCACTCCACCCTTGGGGCTGGCTTGAAGACTGACCTATTCCAAATGTCACCTTTCTGCAAGACCTGCCCTTTCAGGGACTGCAAGGGTATAAGGGACAGTTACCTATTATCCCACAGCCCAAGTCAGGAAATCTCCCCAAAGGAAGATTGGAAAGAATAGCTGTGGACAAAACAGAATTTCATTGTTCTACCTAACAACTCCATGTTAAGGGCAAAGGTGGAACACCATGAGGTTACTGCTTGGATGCCTATTCTTCCTGTCCTTGTAGCACCCTGCCACCCAATCATTTCCTTAATAAGCATCGATTCCAGTCTCACTGATTTAAGCTAGAACTCCCCCAGCAAAAGTAACAGCACAAAAGTGATGAGACCTATTTCATTTTCCCATTATTTTTATTAAATTCAATCATACTCACGAGGGTTAATATTTACTGAATGACCAAATATGCCAAACACCAAATGCATCATATTTTTACAATAATCCTCAAAGTGGAGATTATCATTCTCATTTAAGTTAAAGTTATCGTCCAATTGAAGTTGAAAAATTAAGAATAAATCTCAGTTCATTTATGCATAGGGGAGACCCCAAGCATCCATAACCTGCCAGAAGCCACTAGGCAAGAACAGAGAGGGACCTGGCAGGTATTTCATAAGTGAAAGCAAAGTTCCAAACCTCACCACTGCTATTAGGATGGACTGTTTTGTCTCATAGAAATGGAAAACACACACAGCTGCTTTCTTACTGAATACCTGTCCCCTTTCACACCCCATAGAAGAGTCCAGGTTATTTACCTATCTTTTCAACCTTCTCCTCCTCCACCTCTTGCTCAGCTTCGGTTGTGCAACGATAGCCTTTCTTCTTCAGCAGGTGGCAGATAAGGACGCCGAAGAGACCCATGAGAAAGAACACGGGGACAAGTGCATAGGCAATGTATTCGGGGTGCCCGTTCCCTGTGTTGCTCGTGGGTGCCGTCGTTGTCTCAGATCCTGAGTGCGATGAGCGGCCACCACCATGGTCTAAGGAAGGAACCCACATGGAAATATCCATTAACTTTGACCAAGAAAGGAAACTGCTACTGTAAGTTTGTAAAAAAATTGCTTTCATTATTTTATCAGGTGACCTCTAGCATTTAGGAGAACCTATTTTTTCCTAATTCTTCTTTCAATTAATAAATGAATTATATGTATCAGCGACCTACATTAATAATATATCCATATATGAGTGAATAATGTATATATCAAATAATACATATCAAATATATAGTCTATATACAATATACATTTCATTTAGAATTGAAAAGGGAGTTAAAGAAATGTTGCTTCCGGGTTTTACTGAAAGTAAAGCTTGAGGTCACACCCTAATTTAGGTGATATAGTGCATATGTTTAAGAAGGGTGTGTGTGTCCCTAAACTGAACTATCCAATATGGTAGCCACTGGCCACAAGTTGCTACTTAAATTTAAATCTGAAGTCAATTGAAATTAAATAAAGCTTTGAAATTCCTCACTTCAACTACATTTCAAGGGTTCAGTATCACATGTGGCTAATTGCTACCATATTGGACAGATCAGTTGGAGAACATTTTCAACAACTCAAAGAGAATTATTGAACAGCCCTGTTAGAACTATAAAGACTTGCTAACAAGCAAAATGTTATCTGGAATGGAGCATGCTGTACCTTAACAATTCACTGAAGAATAACTTTTAAAATACAAAGAAACTCTTCACAAATAAGACCTAAAACATTTAGCTTAAGTCGGTTCTGTTTGGCTTTTACTTACATTAATAATTTGCTTAAGGATCCTGTACCCACATTTTCCGCTCACCCCCACATGAATCACATATAAAGTAGGAAGAAATTATTTATTTTGAGTCTAAAGTACTAGCAAAGGTTATTAAAGCATTATTTATAAAGTCAAAAAATGCCAATCACCTGCCCATTTGATGATGGGATAAGAAAATGTCTAAGTCAACTGTCTAATAACCACTTGATTGACTAATATGTACCTACAAAGCTTCTATGAAGATTTTATGACAATATGGGAAAACATGCTCCAGTGTTCAAATTTAAAAATTGGATTGAAAATCTTATTTATAATATGATCCAGCTAGTAAAAAAAATTCATAAAGATATAAAATGTACAAAGAAATCACCAAAATATTAAGTGATTCTAAGGAGCAGGATAATTTTACATTTTATTTTTAAACTTATGCTATAATTTTCTAAAATTAGTATATATTGTTTTTATACCAAGGAAAGGACACTTAAAAAAAGAGAAAAAAATATAGAGCAGAGGTTGTCCACCACTTGGGAGTCACAGACCCCTTTGTAAGCCTACTAGATGCCATGGTTCCTATTCTAAAATATTGCCCCCAAGATCTGCAAGCCAGAGTTGTAAAAATAAAATAAAAAGGGAAAAAGCGATCCACAGGAGATAATTGTGGCCTTGGCAGGAGTACCTTCTCAATAGCTGAAGGAGGTAAGACCAGATATCCTGGGTTGAATTGAGATGCTGAGCTTGGTTTTCCCTTTCCAGAAGCCACTTAGCAACTAGAACAGAGCAGTTCACCCTTGGGTGGGAGGATGAAATTTTTATTTAGACTTTTGTTTGTTGTTGTTGTTTTTAAGTAACTGGAACCAAGCAAAAGGGAGAGACTTGGGAGGGAATACAGAGTGATGACCTCGGGGAAGCTGGAGATGATCTTCTTTGATGGGGGCAGAGATGAAACCCTTGCAAGGGGAAAAGACACTTCTTCCTGAGGCAGGGGCAGGTGGGTGGGTTAGTCCCTTGCTGTGGGCAGAAGGAGCTTGAGGGAACAGGTGCCGGAGAGTCTCCGTCTTCTCTTAACAAAAGCAATTGTGTCTGTTAAGAACTAGGAAGCCAGAGGCTTGGCGGAGAGATTCAAGGAGTGGTAGAGGTCAGTGAAGGGTCATGGAAAAGGCATTTAGGGAATAGCTGAGATGTACACCCCAATAAACAGGGGGGCCATGTAAGCTGGAAGCCCATCACAAGGGACCAACAATCAAGGCACTGGTTGCAGAAGTGGTGGAACTAAGCCCCAGACTTGTTATTTCCCTATCACTATTAATAATATCAACAACCACATTTGTGATGCATTTTTTGAGCCAGAACTATGCTAAGTATTGAATCTTCACGATAAAACTGTGGCATAGTTGGTGATGTTACTCTCAGATGGGGAAAGGCTAAGGAACTCCCAAAATCCCACTGCTGTTCAGTGGTAGTGCCTGGATGCAGACCCCACAATCTTCCAGAAGCCTTGTCTGCATCTGTAAAATGGGGCTGGGAACAAGAGCACCATCCAAGTACAAATGCCCGCTTAAAGTGTATTTAAATTGTTTTTCTTTCAACAATTTTTATCCCTTTTCTACTTTTCTGTCAAAACGTTAAATGTCAGTTGGCTCTCATACTTCAAAATGTAGATTAACGGGTCCCCAAATGTCAGAACTACTAGCATAGCAATTGGGTTCCAATTAGCTTAGTAAGGAGTAGGGTATGTTTTGAAAATATCCAAATATACCCACACGAGCAGCTTATCTTCGAACAATCAAAAATTCTACTATTTGTCCCAACCTCATATGGGCCTTCCAGATCCCAGACCACAGCTCCCTTTATGCAGGAAGTAACCTAGGTCCCTTTAGCCTCTTCAAAAACAAGTCCATCATCTCATCTCAAGTATCCCTTGCACACAGGAGGTTCACCCTTCTTGCTGATAAATAAGATTCCTGTCCACAACGTTAGTAGGAAAAAAAGTCCAACAAAAGTCAGCATTCATCAAAATCCTTTGAGATTTTCCTAGGCACAGCTATGTTTGTTCAATTCATTGTATTATGACAACCTAGTGTATATTGTATTTTGCCAAGATCCCGTTGAGAAAATCACAAAAGAAGACATGAGATAAACAAGATTGAAGATAGCAAGAAACTGAGGAAGAGGCATAAGAAACAGCCAGAAGTCAACCCCAGAAATCAGAAGTCATTTTCTAGTTCATTTCCAAGGAATACTTGTATTTCCCACTGATCCCAATGGTCAGAGTTGCTGACATGGGATGGCACAGAAATGGCATTCCTCAAACCCATTGGGCATAGCTGGAGCGTTGTTAAAGTAATTGGGAAGATGATGGTAATAACCAGAGACTCCAGAAAAGGAAGCTCTAGTGATTTTCCCAAGCAGTTTTGTTTCAACCCAGGTCAAGAGCATTTTGAAGGTTCTGATGGCTATTCTTCTTTTTCAGGAAATGGTGTGCATTCTCAAAGCTACGTTTTCTCAGCAATACCCACAACTCTGTGATGGGAAAAAAAGGACCTTGCTGGTAAGTGGATCACCCAAACCAAGCTTGGTTGGGAAGTGGTTTTTACACACACATACATGGCCTTTTTCTATTTTATTTTTTATTTTGCAAATATTCACATCACTGTAGCCAAGAGCAGTCTATTTATGGTTTAGAATACTAAGTTCACTAGACATAAATTTCTTCAAACCAGTTTTTCTCCACAGAGTTTTGTTACTGGGTCCCTCTGCGATACCAAACAAGTCATATCACTTCTCTGGGTCTCAGTTGTGGTCCTCCAAATTCCATAACTCCCCAACCTTCTCCAGCACCATCCAAAATTCACTCTGGGTGGATGCCGCTGGAGAAAAAACACAAGCCCACCTGCCCATATCCACAAAGACAAAACCAAAAATGCTCCAAAATAAAAAATTTTTATAACTCATTTCATTGTAAAACCAAATCTGACAAATTCATTGGTAGCAAAACCTGTCCTGATCTGATGAGAGGCTATTTCCAATCTGAGTTTATTTACAACACTGAGTTCATTGCATATAGATTAAGATGTTTGACTTGACCCTTCAGGGTTTGTGCTGCAGCTCCCAAGAGCTTCAGAGACCACAGCACTATGAGATGGGGTCACGTGATGATGCTATTATTTTAGAGAACAGGAAGCAGAGGTTCAGAGCCCCTGGGAGGGTATGTCACTTGCCCACAACCACATGATTAAAAACTGGTAACAGCCTGGAAGAAAATACAAGCAGATTCTGTTTCAGGGCAGCCCTCAAAGCCAGTCTACACACTGCCTCCCAAGCCTGCTTGGGTAGAGCTAAGATTTACTGGCTCCTGCAAAACGACTTCCTTTATTCATTGTTTCAACACAGTTTAAATCAATTACCGATGCTAATAAAAGGGGAGAAAGCAAAACAAATTCCACCAAACACAATCACCCCCAAAATTATTTCCATTTCTGGCTATCTCGATAACTCTAAAATTACAGAATTTTTAAGTCCATCCCTCACACTGCTAGGATAGAGATACAGCCTTTGTCCAGACAAATTTAAAAAGCTTAAAATGTAAGGAGGGAGTAAATGAACTTATGTGGAAATTGGAAAATAATGCAAGTCAGTATATGAATAAGGACTAAATTTTGTTGTGAAACTTCAGGCAGCTGCCAACTTCCCAACAATTCCCAGATAAACAGCTGCTAAAACCCCACCCTCCCCCACTCCGCAGCTGTGACTGGGCAGGGAGGGAGTGGACATCCAGACAGAACCAGGCTGCCCGGAGTCCACCCACCCATGGCACAAAAGCCCTCCCACTGCATATAGTGACTCAGTAACCTTTCCCTCGTCAATGTCCTTGAAATGCTACCAAGACACAGGAGCAGGGACGCTAATTCTGGGCAGCTAGGCCACTCTGGAAGCAGATGGAGACCCAGACAGCTCCCCAGCAAAGTGTGCATAAATCAGCCAAGACCACTGTCAAACACTGATTTACAGATGCGTTTAGCTAAGAGTTCCTTTAGAAAAATGCAGCTGTCTTTGAAGTTTCTATGAATAGCTATATGCACTCAGCCGTACCTTGAGGGGTACCAAAATCGAGGGCTCACTTTAACAAGAGCACCCCTGTAGGCAGGAGTTGAGTGCAGGAGAAAGAAATAGGGGGGGGACTGACTAGCCAAAGATTTCAAAACATTGCCTGTACCCAAGAAAGTTTCTTCCCTCC